CTCCCATGTAAAAAAGACGTGGGTGCTCGGAAAGTTAAAACGAACCTCTAAGAGGTACCAAGATCCTGTTTTGTGGGCGTGACTTGAATTTTTTTTCACCCCATATCATGAGAGGTACCAATTCTAAAACATTTCAAAACGTGAGTAAAGATTTCGAACCTTTGAAATAAGAAACAATTTACTTCGAGGTGAATGAAAGCTTTAGCTTTGCCCCTGATTGAATATCTACCTATTACCTATCTTTGCTTGTTTTTAAGAAACCTGCAAAACAGGATTGTACGCGGTATATAAATGTATAATAATTGTACTTGTAGATCGTTTTCATTGTCACGCAATGAAAAATAAATCGAAAACCATCCAGTGGAAAAAGCTAAGAAATTGTGATGCTATAGAAGATAACTAAATAACACACTTCTCTAAGTTTTAGGCCTGTACGTTTCCCCAAGTTTCAGAATTTTGTCGAAATGTTCCGCAGAAATTTACAGAGCCCAGTATGAAAACGCTATGTTGGTGTACATCCGTGGTACAGCAATATGGCGGTCGGAAAATAGAGTAAACATCTGGAACTTACTTTGGCTATCTAGGCGACTAATTATCAGTACTGAACAAAGAAGCATTTAAATAAGTACTTTTCCTAAAGCTCTAACTTCTAAAAAGGCTCAAAATCGTGAAATAAGTATATATTTTACAACAAACCGGCTCGATCGTAGCCTTGTGTCACGCACCTCCATAACCCTGAAATTCAAAATGCTTTGGTTTCCAAACGAAGCACGTTATTGAGCTGTAAAATTGTAAACAGATATAAATATACCGGCTCTTATGCTTGATGAGGATAAAACCTTTNAGTACTTTTCCTATTATTATTATTGAGCTGTAAAATTGTAAACAGATATAAATATACCGGCTCTTATGCTTGATGAGGATAAAACCTTTGGTGGCTCTAGTTTTGGATTTTAGAAAGTGAGGACGTCACGTGAAAACGCTCTATAGTAATTGAGTATATTTGTTTGATAAAGTTTTAATAACTCCTTAGTTATATTTACATTTCTTTTCCTTTATCTGTGATCATGAATAAGCAGCAACCAACTTAAAGCTCTGCTACTTTGGCTGCTGCACACTCATTTAACAAACTCCTATATTTTTTGGGATATATCCTACGTTTGTTTTCTTCTGTTTTGTGTACTTTTTCCCTTTGTAATCAAAATAGTGTGAATAAAGATTTGATTTGATTTGATTTGGTGGTGGGATGTTCTAATTGCAAACGTGTTGGACT